TTATTTACTTAGAGGTTTTTTGTTTGTTTGTTTGTTTTTGTTTGTTTGTCTGTTTTAATCAGTAAGATTCACTGTGATATATTCACATATGTGTGCAGGAAAGCTAGGTCAAATTCATTCCACTCTTTCCATTATCTCATCCCTGCTTATTTCCCTTCATCCCCTTCATCTACTCCATTGATATTTGTTCTATCATAAATGGAATACATGTCTCCCTTTTCCATTCCCTCTCTCTCCCCACCTCTCTCTTCTCCTTATTTTGAACTAGTTTCCACTATACATCTGTCTTAGAGGCAGTACCACATTGCTTTGATCACTGTAGCTTTATAGTCATAGTTTTAAATCAAGCAGTATGAATCCTGTATCTTCTTTTTCAAAATTGTTTGGCTTCTAGGGCCCTTTAGATTATATTTAAATTTTGGGTTAGGTTTTTCTATTTCTGAAAAAAAATGGCATTGAGATTCTGATAGGAATTGCCTTGAATCTATAGACTGCTTTGGGTAGTATTGTTGTCTTAGTGAAAATGTCATCCAAACATGGGATCTCTTTCCATTATTTTATATTTTCTTTCAGTCTAAGGTATACAAGTTTTCCATTTGGTTGGTTAAATTTTGATACATAGTAAATGGAATTACTTTCCTAATTTCTTTTTCAGATGGTTCATTTCTGGTCTATAAAACACAATAAATTTTGTATGTTTTTGCAAAAATAGAAAAACAATCATAAAATTCAAATTTTTCTTTTCAATTTTAACTACTTCTACTTCTATTTCTTGTCTAAATATGCTGGCTAACATAAGCATTATGATGTTGAATGGCAGCCACAAAAGTAAGCATCCTTCTATTGTGCCTAATAGTGGGGGGGGTGATATTTCTAGTATTTCACCATTGAATATGTAAACTATGATGCCAGTTGATTTTTTTTGCATAGATGCTCAGGCAACTCAATGAGAAATGGATATAATTTCAACAAATGTTATAAGAACATTTGAATATTCATGTACCAAAAAAATAAAAATAAGGAACTCATATGCTTACCTCATGATGTATGCAAAATTAGTTCAAAATATTTCAGAAGCAGGTGTGTGTGTATGTGCATGCTCTCACACAATTAAAATATCAAACATTAAGAAGAAAACACTGAGAAAATTTTTGTTCCATTGGCAAAGCAAAGATGTCTTCGATTGGATATAAAAATATGATCCATGAAGAAAAAACTTGCTAAATTATACTTCATAAGCATAAAAAGTTTGAATTCTTTAAAATGTATCATTAAGAATATGAAAAAGGAATTCACATCATTGGAGGAAATATTTGCAAGTTGTATCTCAAATATGTAAGAAATTCTTTAACTCAATAAGAAGATAACTCATAAAACATGGGCATAAGAATTGAGAGACACTTTGCAAAAAAAAATGACAACACACATGAAAAGTTGCTTGACAAGATTATTCATTTGGAAAAATACAAATGACCAATGTGAGATACCACAGCACACTCATCAAATGGCAATAATAAAACAATATTGAATGTTGTTGAAACTGTAAAGAAATTGGACCTCCCATAAATTGCTGATGCAAATGTAAAATGGTACAGCCCCAATGGGAAAGACATTGACAGTTTCTTCTAAAAATTAAAAATAGACTTACCATACAAACAAGTTTTTTACTCCCAGGTATACCCAAGAGTTTTTTTAAAACATAGATATACACAGAGATTTGTAACCATATGTTGATTGAAGCACTATTCATAACAAATAACACTTAGAAACAATCCACATATCAACAGATCAATGGAGAAACAAAGCATTGTCCATCTATGAATGCTACACTACTCGGCAATTAATAAGAGCAAACTATTAGGACACGCAAAATCATGGATGAATCTCAAAAACATTTTGCTAAGAAGCTACCTATAAACGCCTAAATATTATATGATTTCATTTATAATAAATCTCCAAGAAAATTGCTGCATCAAAACCATATATCTAAAAAAAAACATATATCTAATTGTTGAGGGTTAGAAGTGGAAGTGAATATTAACTGTTTATGGGCACAAGGGAACTTTATTGAAATAATAGAATACAGCTGTATTATAGTTATGCTTACAAAACCATAAATTGCCTAAAATTCATTATGCTGCACACATAAATTGTGATATATAAATTATACTTCAATAAAGCTGTTAATAAAAGGAGAAATATAGGGCTTTCTGATAACTAAAGTATGGGTAAAAAAAGATGACTAATGTAAAAAGCATGTATATACACAAACTTGAACATTTAGCCATTCATAGCTCATTTGCATTCAAGTCTTGACACTGTCACATATTTAGGACAACCTGGATCATTCACTAGGGACACATGCAAAACAATTCAACTATTTAATCCTTGTTTTGCTTCTATTGCCCCTATCAAGGAAAATGCCCATCATTTTGAAACTATGAAACCAGTGTTGATAGGAAAGTAAAGAACCACCCATTAGGGAAGCATACTGTCAAAGAGACTAATTTTTTTATTTGAATTTAATTCTTAAACACTTTGGAAATATTCTAGAATCCCACTCCTACTTCCTGCCCCACACTGCCCCCCGGGCAAAAAAAAAAAAAAAGTAAAAACACAGATGATATTGCTGAACTATTATCAGTGGCCTCTAGGGAAGTAGAAAATATAACAATAGTCATCCTCCCAGATTTCCTAACCTGTGTAGAGGTGCACCATGACAATTTTTAAGAACACATTTTTGATATTTAATGGACACAGAGACAAATATTAGCATGTTGTAGTTCACAGTTTCAATACATCGCACAACATTCCTTTGGATCACATCACATCTTTGTGAAACCCTTTTTCTGGATGGTTATTACTAGGATAAAAAGCAAGTACCTGTGAAAATCAAGGTGGAACAGGAAAGAAGGGTCTCTTCACATTCATCCCACAGCGAGCATTTCCTGCCTCCCCTCTACTCTCATGTCTATTGTTCTTGCTAGATTTCAACTTCCTCTAAAGGGAAGGACCTGTCCTAATTTTTAAAAGTGACATTGATCTTCCAAATTTACACAGCGCTGCAGATTTTGTTATATACATACTTAAAATGGTAGCAGTAACAACCATGGCAGGTGAAGGGATGTGTTTAATATCAAGGATCACAATTTTAAAAGGATATAAAATCAAGAAGAATCTATCCAGAGAAGAATAATTGGGAATATGAAAGTTTTGAAAATTATGACAAATCAGGCACTTCGAATGACCAAGAATGTTTGGTCCAGAGAAGGAAAGGCTTAAGATAAAGGTAAATATCTATCACTACCAAGAAATGGAGGCTAGGTCTCCAGTGATCAGACTACTCAGTTTTGCCACAGGTATGATTCTTAGATTCTACCTCAGATGGAAGAATAGTCAGTAAAAATTAAAGTGTGGAGCAGGTACAGCATTTTCAAGTAAAATTAATGGCAGAGCCAATCAAAAGTCACCAATATGCTGGAAGGTTTATTGCGAACAAATCAACCAATTATATAGATAATTACTGAATAACGAATATTCATTAAATGGTCAATGAAATATAGATCTGTGCTTATAAAGTACCAATACAAGGCAGTTATGCTAGTCCTTTCTCAAGAGAAACATAAATACCTAAAGTTTTACTTATTTCATTAATCCATAGGGATTAATTCTTAACATGTGACAGCATTAATCCATAGGGATTAATGAAATAAAGGATACTGAAGAGAAGCTACACAGGTACAAAATCTGACTGAGCCTTAATTATTATCTATACTCTGTCTTCCATTAAGTTAAAACCTACATTACAGTTGCTGTGGAGCCCAATGGACCATTATTTATTTCCACCTCTCTCTCTATCCCCCTTAAATATATAGACAGCTAATTCCAGGCATGCTGGCTTGTGATGATCTGTCATGACTTGTGGCATTTCCTAGCATTGTGACTCATGACAGTCTCAGGACACCCCAAGGAGAATATGCATAGCACAATATGTTGTAGAGGGCTCCTTACCACATGTTCCCAGCAGGCATGTCTTAGGAATTCTGGAAAAGGTAAGGATATGTGATCTTCAAGTAAACAAAGAGAAAACGTCAATATGTTATGAAATTGTGGGACTGCTGGTGACCTTGAGAGGTCCAATTTAAGGTAGTGGAGAATGGTGTTGAGAAATCAAAAGATACTAAAACGTAATCTTTGGCTTTAAGGAATTAAAAACCTAAATGTGATTAAATAAAACATGACTCAGTCCAGGCTGAGTCAAAAGGCTACTCGGACACACCTCTATCCTAGTCCCATATATACATATGTTTGTGAACCTGTTTCTACCACTTGAATATATGCAACTCGAAAGCAGAGGCAGTGTTCCACATCATTTCAGTATTCTTAACATGTGACAGCGCACAAAAGCATTTTCTTCATGCATATGTAAATAATGAATATTCAAAAATAAAAAATAAACATCCAAAGTTGGAGATGTTAAAATAATTAATGTAACAAAAAGAAAAGAGTGGCAATCATAGGAATCAATATACTATGAAAAATAATGATAATAATATCAATAAACAATTAATCATAGATAGTGTTCATAATATTGGAGGGATGAAAAAATATGAAACTCATAATAAATATAAATAATTCTCATAGAAAATTACCTGTAAGTGTCTCTGTGTAGTAGGGTTACCAACCATTTCTATTTAACTAGCACTGTCCTGATTTTAGCACATAAAGTCTTGCATCCTGAGAAATCCTGATTTCCATTATATACATAATCACTTAATTATTTCCATTTATTTAATCCAGAAAAATTATACTCATTTCATTTAGTGTATTTTGAATAATTAAAAAAAAAAAAACCCTCTCACCTAAATTTCTTATATTGTTTCTAGGCCTTCCTGATAGGTTCTCAATGGAGTTAGAAAAACAACAACAAAAACACTAGTGAGATGTCCTTCCCTGGGTCCTGGTTCTTCCTACACCAGCATGGGCCAGAGGTCACTTACTTTTGCTGCAACCCAACAGATTGTTGACATCCAAATGGCTTGCACTGGGAACACAAGCATCACACTTCAAACCAGTGACAAATTGTTTACAGAAACACTGGCCTGTGACCAAGTGACAGGTTTCATTCAAGGCTCCTGAGAGATGACAATTACAAGGCTGACATCTGAAAACAAGACAAATAAATCATCAAGAGAATAGTGTTTTGATTAATAATTCATCGTATAAGTTATACCTATCAATAACATTGTGGAGTAAATAGTCTGTTTTAGTCAACATATTGAAAAGGACGCTTCAGCTACACAAACACAAAACAGAACAGCTCTTTATGAAAATTCTGCTCATGGGAAGCTACAGAATGTCTTCCCTTTGTAAACTAATTAATGACCCCCCCACAAATTGTTATATTCCTTTATTTTTCAGGCCATGATGACTCTTCTGGATTAGCCTAAATACCAGTTGTTTACTTAAGGATACTGTAAATTTTGCCCCAGTAGACAATATATTTCATTTGCTATTTTATGTACTGAATTAACTTACCCAGAATGGTTAGAGAATAGAGCATTATTTTAATTTATGAAAATGTGTTAATTTACTGAGATACTAATATCACTTACTGGAACTTAAAGTTCTTGAACTCAAAGTTGTTCGTGAAAATAACAGTACTGGCACTTTGTCATAACAAACCAAAACCTGTTTCCTAGAGTGAATTATTCCAACACAGCCTACGCTCATGGAATTGATTGGGATAAACAATTTGATGCCACAAAGTATTAGCAATGCAAAAGCATCACAAGAAGGCCACTTAAACAGGGACACTCCATGTGGTGCGTTTCAAACCACAGTAAATGGATTCACCTATATGTTCTAATAAAGACGATGGTGGGTAGAGTTGCTTTATCCCACTGCAATTTTTACAGTGTGATCTCTTGGGTAATCATTCAACACCCTTAAAAAGGCTGATAAAAGCTAAGATACTGCCAAATAAGCTGCAAATTTGTTTTATGGACTAATATCCCCTTGGGAATAAATAAAGTACAGTTTCTCTTGAAAACCACTATACTGTAGTTTGCCCTTTTTATGGTCACGATAAAAGGATATTTTTTCCCTTCCTACAAACAACTATATTAGGTCTTTTATCTATATGCATTGTATCAGAATTCCATTTCAAGTAGATGGTTTGTTTAGATTATGTATTAGAGCTAAAGAAAATTATGCATAGAAATTAAAATGGAATTACAGAAGCAATGAAATATTTGATTTGCTCTTAATTTCATTATATGCTATTAGAGCATATTGCCCGTAGGCTTTTAATGTAATCTTGGTGAACATAAACAATAAGAGGCAAGCTTCTCTAGATGCATGAGTATATATGTGTATATGTGTGTGTGTGTATGTATACACACACACACACACACACACACATATATATCACTATACCACTCATGAAAAAGCATCTCTTGAGTATTTCAGTTTTTATTACCATTCACTCATGAGACAATCACACTTATTTTACATACAGTACATTTAGAGTAATAGTTGCCAGTGTATAACATAATTCCTTTCCTTGATGTAGTTCTATTTTCTCCCAGCCAGCAGCTACATGCATAACTCTAAGTCAGTTATGTCAATATCCATGGGATATTAAGTTCCAAATCCAAATGGAATAAATAAATCACTACTTAGGAAAGCATGCAATGCTTTGAGTAATTAAATGTGTCTATGCCTGATTTTATGGTCTCTTCTTCCAGCCATTGTTATATTGAATGTATATGACTCGTTATAATTGCTTAATTTAAGTAAGAAAGAATTTTTCCTAATTGAAGTACATCAGAGGAGACTTTTCTGAATACTGTAGTTTGTTTCTAGACCAAAGGACACAGGGAATAATTTTGTAATTAAGGTTTAAGTAAAATGATTCCTGTAAATTTCTCAGCCACTCAAACATAATTTTAAAATTTTCTAAGACTCTTTAGCAAATAAGCTACAAGTTTGATGTCATTTTATAAGTTATCCTCCTTGAGAGTACCTGCTAAATGAAATATATTTCACACTTATTAAAACAAAATTATACACAATAAAGGAAAAGACATTTTAAACTTAGAAAGAGAAACACCAAACTAAGATGAATTGTGATATTGATTTTGCCAGGATAAATGGTTTTTGTAATATTAATATAAAGAAACCTTTATTACACTGACTCTCCTGGTACAGCCAGAGCTTCTCCCGCAATCTGTTTAAAATCTTCATTTTTCATCCTTATGGGAAAACCTCACTTGCTAAATGGATTTCATAAAGAGTAATCTGTCAAGATTTATATAGATAAACAATTTGTGATGTTTATTGACCAGTTCATTATGATAAACAAAACAGGAGGAAAGCACACTCATCTCCACCAGCATGCTGCTGTTAGAGTCATTTAGGCCCTTATGTAACTGAGTATCTACCAGATACAATGGGAAAGATGTTAATTGACCTCTGTCTCTTCAATCATGAATCTCATGTATTTTCCTTTCTTGGGAGTTTCTTCTAGTTACACAAACAGTAAGTAAAAGAGTTATTCTAATTATTATTATTGCATAAACATAACTATTAAGGAAATGAGTGAGTTTCAATAATAGACATCATTGTCAGAAACTTCATCATCTAGGGGAGAGTTGTAATAGGGAGTCCTAGGAGATATGCCAAAATATTGATCACTTTGTTGACATTCCTCTTTGCACAACGCTCTTCTGTAAGGAGCCTCGACTCAGGGTACCTAAACACTGATTGAGACAAATAGCCTTCACTGTGGGCCAGTTATATTCCAGGACTGGAATAAACACTGAGTACATAAAAATGAATACTGAAGAGTTGCTTCTGTCCTCAAAGGTCTCACAATTTAATATAAAAGAAAAATTAGTACATTAACAAAGATATATGCTGAGTATTTAGGGGCACAAAAAGGAACAACTATCAAGTCTGGTAGAGAGGAAAGGATGAGTAAGAAGTACCAGTTGAGCATCCCTAACCTGGAAATCCCAAATTGGAGATATTCCCAAAATCCAAACCATTTTATGCACTGATAAGATGCCACAACTGAAGTTTCACACCTGAGCTCATAAGATGGGCCATAAACAAAACAAAATGCAGATACACTAAAAATATTGCATAAACTCACTTTCAGGATATGTGTATAAGATAAATTTCATGTCCGTGGGTATGTGTGTGTTACATATATAAATGAATTTGGGGTTTTGATCTGGGTCCCAACCCCATGATATCTCATTACATATATAAAATATTCCAAAATTTAAAAAAATCAAAATCTAAAATACTTCTTGTCCCATACATTTCAGATAAAGGATACTCACTCAACCTGTATTAAGAAGAAATCTTGCAAGAGATACTTGGGCTGAATTTTTAAAGATGAATAGTAGGATGTCAGGCAAATCAGAGAGGGAAGAAAATAAAGAGAAAAGAGAAAATAGGAGAAGGTGTGAAAATACAAACAATATAGAATTTGTGGATATTAATTCAGAGTGGGGAATGGTGATTAATAAAGCTGGAAAGGTAAGGAGGAGAAGGCAGATATTTCTAAATTAGGGCATCAGTAAGGAGCCTTGGAAATGAGGGGGTAGAATTAAGAAATGATCAATAAATAAGATTGGTAGTACATGGGTGACAAATTGAAAAGGGAAGAAGGAAATGGAGTTACTCCTGACTTTCTAATTTGCTGACAGAAGGATGATGAAGACATTCTACACAAAGAATGAAGAAAGAATAGATATGAAATTGCTGAGGAATTCTGAACAAGAATCAGTGATGAATAAAAAAAGGGGCTTGAAGGCAAATTAGAGAAATTGGGCCAGGAGTGTTCGCCCATCAGTCGCAAGCACACAGGCTAGCACAAAGTGAAGTCTCAACAAATACTGTTGAATAATACATTGGGAAAGTTTTTGACTTAGGACTCCAGATAGAAATCCAAATGTGGCCTGCACCTGTGATGAAAATTCAGCTCTTTTGAGCTCCTTTTTATTGCCGTAACTCTATATCATCACTGACTTCACCCCTGAGGAATAGATAGCTTTTCTTTAAGAGCTGGTTTCTGCTTAGACTCCTTAAGACCAGGTAGTTCTCAATTCAGCACCCTTGCGCAGGATTCAGGGAGAACCCCAATGCATTGTGGAAGGGTGTGGCTTTCCAGAATTAAGCACATTTCCTGTCTGCAATGGAGGTGTGGTCTCACTGAGCTTCTCAGTTCTTTCATGATGCCTACTACAACATCCATATTCTCCTGCAGCAAGAATCAGAATTATACAAAAGACCTTGGAGGCAGGTGATCCAATTTGCTGTAGTCGGAAGTCATACTCACATAGCTTATTGCAGAGGAAATAGGGTGTTAATACTCTCACAGGAAAGGGAGTAGTTAAAAATGCCCAAATCACTCTTTTGGGTGAGGTATTCCCAGGCATGAGTATGAGAACTCATCAAAACTGGACTGGGGCAGTTACTCTGTGGCATTCATACAATGGTATGTGCCATTCCTGTCTAGAGAAGAACTTGCCTAGTGAGAATCTGTATCTGAGAACCTTCCCTCCTTCTACTTTGACACTCTACCTAATCACACAAATTACTTTGAGACATGATAGTGGATTCAAAATTTTAAAGGACTTTCAAGTACAAGAGAAATTAAATTATACTTATTCTCCCTGGCCATGGGCAAAAACTTAGGTAAAAAATTAGAAGAAAATCACAGGATTGAAACTGTGTTTTCAATATGAAGAACATATTTCTATCTGACTCAGGATTATAATTTTGGGGAAGAAACTCTACTACTTCACAAGACATCAGGGTCTTTTTAGCTGTATGTTTTTGGAGCAGAAGTTGAATAGGCATTGACCATTTATTTATGAAAAGGTGATATATGCACAGAAATGCACAGGATAGAATTCAACCCAAATTACTCTTAAGATTCTTTCCAAGTCTATAATGTTATGATTTTATGATGCTTAGAGATGAAGAAACTAGCCCAAGATGGAAGTAAATCTAGTTGCACTTTCTGCAATCTTAATCCACTGAGGCCCAGACAGTATTTCAGGCTTTGTGGGTTATATGATCTCTGTTGTTTCTGAATTCTGCTGCTGCAGTCAGAAGGCAGCTATAGACAACATGTAAAAGATGACC